GATGGGGGGTGTCCCCGGGGCACCGCCAGCACTGTGTGACCCCATCTCTCCCGCCAGGACTGCCCGTTCATCGTGTGCATGTCATACGCCTTCCACACACCCGACAAGCTCAGCTTCATCCTCGACCTCATGAATGGTGAGAGGCCCCGGTCCTGAGGGACCCCGAGTCTGATCCCCCGCTGGCCTGAGCCACGGGCTCGAAGCCCCCTTCCCGCACCATTCCTGGGGCGCAGAGGGCGGTGCCAGGGTGAGGACTGGTCCCTGTCGTCACAGGGGGAGACCTGCATTATCACCTGTCCCAGCACGGCGTCTTCTCGGAGGCAGAGATGAGGTTCTACGCAGCTGAGATCATCCTGGGCCTGGAGCACATGCACAGCCGCTTCGTGGTGTACCGTGACCTCAAGGTGACCAACCCCACGGGCACCCGCACCCCCAGGGGCATCCTCACAGGTGCCCAGAGGCCCCATTGGCATCCCCGGGCCCTGTAGAAACCCCCCCGAGACTGTGTGGGCACCCACAGGTATCACAGCCGCCCACAGATCCTGTAGGAACTCCCTCAGACCCTCTGGGTATCCTTGGGACCCCCACAGTCATCCTGAGACCTTGGGGAGCACTTGCAGACTCTATCGGTGCTTCCCGGTCCCACAGACACCCCCAGATCCCACAGAGCACCCCAGCCTGACCCATGTGGGCCCCCCCCCCACCCCCCCCCGCCCCGCGCCGGCGGCGGACAGGGCTGGCACGGTGTCTTGGCAGCCGGCAAACATCCTCCTGGACGAGTTTGGGCACGTCCGCATCTCAGACCTGGGCCTGGCCTGTGACTTCTCCAAGAAGAAGCCCCATGCCAGCGTGTGAGTGTGCCCACGCCCCTGCCTGCCCTGCCCGCCCACCTGGCACGGCCCCTGACCCTGCTCTGTGCCCCCCGCAGGGGCACCCATGGGTACATGGCTCCGGAGGTGCTGCAGAAAGGAGTGGCGTACGACAGCAGCGCCGACTGGTTCTCGCTGGGCTGCATGCTCTTCAAGCTGCTTCGGGGGTGAGCGTGCGGACGTGGGTGGGCACGGGCGGGCACGGGTGGGCACCACTGAGTTCCCTTCTCCCCTCCTGGCCGCAGGCACAGCCCCTTTCGGCAGCACAAGACGAAGGACAAGCACGAGATCGACCGTATGACCCTCACCATGGTGAGTTGGGGCACCCCGGCCTTTGCCTTGTGTGCCAGGGAGGAACGAAGCAGGCACGGACAGGGCAGGAGCACCCCCGTGCTGCTGTGCCCCCCACCACCTGGGGGGCACACGGGGTGTGGGTGGGAGGTCAGGGACAGCTGGTCCCTGAAGATGAGCGGTACGCAGAGCGTGTGTCCGTGCCCACCTCTGCGGGCATGTGCAAATGTGCGTGCAGAATGACAAGTGCATGTGTGCAAATGGGAGTCTGCACGTGGGCGTGTTTGTGTTCACGCACGCCTGCGGGAGGGTAGGTTGCACGCAGATGTGTTTGCAGCGTCTGTGCTGTCCGTGCACACGCCTGCGGTGGTTACACCTGTGAGCCGCCGCGCACTTGTGTGCCTGGTGTGTGTGCACGCATCTGGGTGTATGTGCTTGCGTGGGACTGGGTGTGCACATGCACATTGCACGTGCGCGTGCCTGCACGTGCATGCATTGGTGCGTGCGCTCTGGTGCACAGGCACGTGTGAGTTTATGCATGCCGGTGTGCGTGCACACCTCCCCGTGTGTGTCAGTATTGAATCCTGTGCACGTGCAGGTGTGCCTGTGTCTGCGCACACGCGTGCCTCCCTGTCCCCGTACACACATGCCCTCGGTGCTTGTGTGCTCGCGGTGTGAGCGACCTTGTTTCTCCCGCAGACCGTCGAGTTGCCGGACTCCTTCTCCCCCGAGCTGCGCTCCCTGCTCGAGGGGCTGCTGCAGCGAGATGTCAACCGGCGGCTGGGCTGCATGGGGCGCGGGTGAGTGCCGGCGGGCACCGTGGGTGCCGG